ATCTCACGTTAAGAATTCCATTCCTTTTTCTCAGTTTCTAAGACTTCGTCGTTTATGTAGTGATGACTCTGATTTCCACCACAAATCAGAGTCAATGTGCCAGTTTTTCGATAAACGTGGTTACCCTGTTTCTGTCGTTCAAGCGGGTTACCACCGCGCCCAACTTATTGATCGACATTCAGCACTACAAACGTCGCATAAGGAAGATTCCGACCGCATTCCATTCACTCTCACGTTTCACCCTCACAACCACTCAGTTAAATCCATCATTCTTAAAAACTTTAAATTACTTCAAAACGATCCAGAGACAAGCACTATCTTTTCGCAGCCTCCGCTCATTTCATTCAAACGCGACAAAAACATAGGCAATTTTTTGGTCAGAAGTTCTTTTCAGACTAATGACCAACCAGGCACTTTTAAATGCGCTCGTGCACGATGCAAAACGTGTCCTTTCATTCACAACACTGAGAAAATATCGGGACCCAAACGATCCATTAAGATCACCGATCACTTCACGTGCACCTCCGCCAATGTAATCTATTGCATAACTTGCACTTATTGCAAAAAGATTTACATCGGCGAAACAGGCAGAAGACTAGGTGACCGATTCCGAGAACACCTTCGCGACGTGGAGAGGAATGACAAGGACACATCGAAACCAGTCGCTAGACATTTTAATTTACCTAACCATTCTAAGCAACACATGGCAATCTGCGGTCTTTCCTTACACTTAGGTAGCACGGAAAGCCGGAAAACTCTTGAACAAAAGCTCATCTTTCAAACCGGCAGTCTAAATCCCACAGGTATCAACGAACGCTTTTCATTCCACTAATTTATTCGTGTTTTTCTCGTTGCCATGTTCCCACCAATCACGTAGCTCCTTTTTCTGCCTTTAAAAGCACACACAACCCACAATTCCTCTATTCGCTCCGACGAAGGGCTAACGCTCGAAACGTCAGCTTTTATAATCGTAACGGTGGCCAATTTACCATTTCAACTTTGCTGATATATTCAAATCACCTATAGATAAATGTTTCTTTACTATTCACGTATTTTCTGGGTAGTAAGCTGATAATGTAAGGAGAAGATACAAATTATCAAATCAAATCTAGGGGAAAAGGCGTAAAAAGACGTTTTGTGGTACAGGATCGCAAAAGATCGTTCATTGGAAATGCAGCCGGAGTTGTAAAAGGCAATCTAAAACACGAAAAAATAAAAGGGAAAAGGAAAGTTTCATTTCTTCCAACTTACTTCTTCTTCATTTACTTTAAGTGGATCATGCCGTCTCCAAATGATAAGACTGTGAAACTTCTCTACTTTAAATGTGTTGGACACTGTAAAAGGCGAAGAAAGTACATAATTTAAAGAGCCGAGCCGACTTCAGAGCAGAAAGTAAATGGGATTGCTTTGGTTCCAGTTCGCTCCGCTCTGTGATTGGTATCAACTTTCCGCGCCATCCTTTGCACCAATCAGATGCAAAACAAGACATGTAGGTCACGGCATTTAAAAACGTAAAAACCTTTCTTGACAAAGCTCAAAACAAAATTGGTAAATGAACAGTTTACCTACAATTACACTGCAATTAATCTTAGTGTTCGAAATGTCTTTAATTTTCCAGCACCCCACTACACTCTCAATTTCTTATTCATGAGAGCGCTTGCTTCTTGAGTTTTCCTGTAAAATTTTGCGCGGCAAAATGGCTCGCGGGCGGCCAAAATTGATCCACTTGCGCATGCTCGACGTTTGAACACTGTGTTTCATTATCACCTTTCCTGTGCCCAAAAGGCAAGAAACACACGCGCAAATTGACTGTTGTCATGCGCGGCTACAACTCACGTGTTCCTCCACGCCAGTCGATCGTTTACCCAAAATAAATAAACCTCTTAAATCTATGGTGGTCTATAACCATACTTAACCGCTATATGATAACCACAAGTAGAATTTCTGGGTGTAATGTAAATATATAGTATTAATTTTTAAACATTTAAAAGAGAAAAGTAATCGTTTGTCTCGCGATGTGGTCCCTTGGGATGTGAATCGCGACGTTTCGACTGCATACTGCTAGTCTTCTTATTTTGAATGAGACAGCAAGAGAGCTGTGAAGCAGCGGACCACAGAGGGAACCTGATCCAAAAGATGCACCGACCACGGCCGTGAAACTCCATCCAATCACAGCGGAGCACAACAACATACGGGTGACGCGTACTTAGTCGAACTCATCTCCTGAAGACTAGCAGTATGAAGTCGAAACATCGTTTTATCTTCCATGTTGAATAACCACAACCTATTTTACGATATAATTTTAAGAAACTTATCATTTTGTTTCCCTTTATAATAAATATATCATTCATGTACCTGAGAGTGAATATTTGGACTCAACACTTTCAAAAGGATCCTTTGCAGTGTTACTGGAAAAAAAAATTCACAGAAAGAAACTTTAAGCCATATAATTGGATCCGGAGTTACTACTCACATGATAACATCTTTTTAAATCTCTAACGTGATGAAATATCTTCTTTTTACCTGGGGATGATAACAAAGCAAAGAAATGATCCCCACTAGGTGGACTGCAATTCTAGAAATTGCAGAGAAGAAGCCTGAAAACATTTAGGGTTTGACAAATTTTGAAAACCCTGCCTCCCAGATATTAGCAGTGTCCACCTGGAGGCACAGGATTAAATCGCCTCAATTGCTAACATTTCAGTCTATCTGTGAGGACCATTTCTTAGCTTGAATCTTATCTCTGAGACCAGGGGAATAATAGGTAAAAATAAAAATCTACTCCCGAATAATCTGAAATGAGACGAACAACCTATAATACAAAGTTTTTTTCACTATTATCAGAAAATTTTTCATAATGATTGTAATTAAAGACCACAAAGCTAGTGAATAAATCTGCAAAAATATTCTCTCCAAAAAACATGTAATTTTGTTTAATTTCTAAAAGTTACAAAAGTGCTCACATTTTATAATTGCAGAAGTCACATTCTTTAGCACTGGACTGAATCAACTCTGCAAGACTGAAAAGATACTAAAAAGTAATGAATTGCCTTTATCAGCTCAATATCTTTCATATCAGGAGGGTAACATTTCATTTATCAAAAGAAATTTCTGGGCTGCACTGGCAAACATGTAAAACACTTTACCTTGAACATCAAGAATAATGAAGAAGTAAGTAAAGGAAAATAAGTCACCATGTCGACACCCTTAAATTTACTTACAATTTCTTGGTTTCCTCGGTAGCTCCTCCTCCTGCACCTGGCCGTTTCGCACGAAGAGGATTAAACACAGTGGATTCTTGAGAATATAAGTTTTCTACTGATGTAATGGGCTGAAAAACAAATAGCCAAATATTTTGAGTACACTTATGTAAGGTTTAAGTAAGTAATTAGCCACTAGTAAACAAATTCAAGATCTGATGGCAAGAGTATAAATAGCAAAATAGTCTCACTACACAAATGTTGAAAATTTTGCCTCCATTACTCAACTAGGTGCACAAAGTGTTCATATCTGGGAGCTTTGGCCAGCCAAGGCACCATAACGTTTATTTAAAACCAAGTTGATAGGTTTGCAACCGTCTATTAGGATTGAAGGAAAATAAATGTACCAAAGCTGGACACGAAAACCCCTAAAACCCAGCAGGTGGTGCCACTCTTGGGGTTTTTGGGTTACCCTATGAATGACATGTTCAACACAGTTACTTAAGGGAGTACGCAAGTAAACCTCTAAGTAAAACCTAATGTGAACATGCAATATTTCAGGAAAAAAAGATAAAATGAGGTTAAAAATACCTTTGAATGAAAACGAAATTTCACAACTTAACATGGCAAAGACTGACAGCAGAATGCCTTGCCCTACTAGTGACCTCATAATTTAGGGTCTCATAACTCTCCACGCACTTCACACCCGTCTCCAGTCCTCTGATAAGCGGTGGCAAAATTTAATTTATGCTAATAAGCATTATCACAAATTACATAATATCACATTTGGCTGAGCTGGGTTTTTCATGACATCTATAGCTAGTTGTTTCATAAGTTGATTTGGACAGAAAAACACAATAGACTGAACAAGCTCTCATCAAAAGCAAAAAATGTCAGGCTCAGCAAAATACAAGTTTTTGTGTCCCTTATTACAAGAGTAACACGGACTTACCAGGGGTACTGCAGGTCTTTTACAATGACAAGAGAAATTTAAATGTGTGGTCACCTGACCTTCAGATTCAGAGATCTTTGTTTGAACTTTTGGTAACCTCACACAATTATTGACCCTGCGACCCTAAGGAATGACTAGCGTCTAATTTCTCCTTGCAATATCACCCCTGAATCACACATAAAGGTCATCAACATGACAGAAATGATCACCAACGAAAGAAGCCCTTGATTGTGACACAATTTCTCCCTTTGAGCACCCGATCTAGAAATGTACAGAGAACAGTATGCATACTGATGTCTGATGCTGGGTTGTAAAGGGATCACAGTTGCAGGGCTCGACACTAACAGTAGCCCATTAGCCACAGACTAGTTGAAATTCAGTATTGGCTGGTGATAATTGATTTCCACTAGCCAGTTTGGATAGTAAACAAACTGAAATTGTCATAACATCTAAGATGTCACAGTCTAGCCACTTGGCTAGTAAGTTGAAAAGTAAGTGTCGAGCCCTGAGATGTAAGCTACTCAATAAGATGGTGATACTGGTCAAGTTGCTAGTAAGAGTCATTCACTGATTGCCTATGATGCAGTCACCAATTTAAAATGTACGTTGGTATTCATTTGAAATCACAGATCTTCCAATAATTTCACTCTTAAATATTACACGTAGATGAAAATATATCTTTTCACTTCATACCTGCAAAGCTGCTTCCTTTAACAATTCCTGTTTTCCCCCAAGCCACTTTAAAACCTACAAAAAAAACCCAACAATAACAATAATCTTTACTTACCCCATAACATATTACATGTAATACAACAGTAAATATCAATGTTATACTACCGTAATGACTCAATTTAGTGCCCCTATTCCAATAAGCTCCCCTTTTCTAGCAAGGTAAAAAAATCAGTTCATCAGCCAAGTGGCCCATCAGGCTGGTACTTAACTCCAGTCTCTGTAGCATGAAGTTACTAGGAGTATTTCTACTCCCCCCTGGATGGAATGCTAGTCCATCATGAGGTTACCCCCAGCATTAACTTTGCCAGTACCTATTTAAACACCTGTGTGAGGACAGAAACCGTGTGAGTAAAGTGTCTTGCTCAAGACCACAACATGATGTCCCCTGCCAGGGCTCAAACCCAAACCATCAGATCTGGAGTCAAAACTCTAATTTCTTACAAGAATAATTGCATGGCAAAGATTTAGGTGAATTACCACTGAGATCTTGGCAGGGACAGGGTTTTAAGTCAAAAAGCATCCTGGATGCTAAATCAAATCATTACCCAATTCTAAATGTGCCAGGGCTACTGGCACCCAAAATAACCACACGGTTAACAAAACTCAGTGCCAGTATGCATCTAGATAAATAATTATACAAATTATAAGATGGGTACACTAAATTTACTTCATCACAGTCACTCACACAACCCACACATATTACATACACACATATTACATACACACATATTCAAACGAAGTATTATAATTGTGCAGAAATTTCAAAAACAGGATGGTTTTCTCCATATTGTTCCTATTAATCAGGACAACAAAAACTTATTTTTTTATTATTTACAATATTTAGAATTATTACATCGCTCACAGTGCCCATGGGCAAGATAAGCAAATCCTGTGTTCTAATTGGCTACCCAAGTGGGCAAGATGGGCCCATTTTACCCACTGGGGATTGCCCACATTGATCCCACATATGAAAAAAAATAGAATATTTATAAGAACTATGTTTCTAATTCTTGGACAATTTTGGCAATGGAAATGCAAAAAGTGGCAGAGGATGGTCAAAATGAGTTTGTTGTGCTACAAACACCGCTGGCTTTCTTTCCCAGCTTTGGAAATAAACAAGTCATTCTCAATTCTTAGAAAAGCAAAATCTTTTTGCCATGTATAATAAATCCTTTATTAATTAACCAAACTTGTTCGGTCAATATGACTTGATATTAGCCTTGCTCTTTTTTTGTATTTTTATGGACATCTACTTCGTCTCAGTCCATAAAAATGCAAAAAATCAAACTCTGCCAATATTCAGCAATATTGACCTCGCATTTGGTTAATAATTCATATATATCAGTTTAATTTATTGTTAAAGTGATACAGTGTGTAATTCTATCAAAGGAATGGAATTTGTGACCTGAGGTAGAAATTACCTTTGAGATAATACCATACCTTGGGAGCAAAAGTATCAGGTATTACTAATGGTGCACTTCTATCCTGCACCAGATAAATATCACTAAATGTCTTGTATAATTCCCTATGAAATAACAAAAGGACATGTATCAGCCAGCACACAAAAAATATCTTGGAATCAATTCTATTGTGGTAGAAAAGGAAGAGATTTATGTGACTTATGTGATAAATTTAAAGCCTGGGTATGGCTCTTTTTTTTTTTTTTCTAAATGCAACTGGAAAGGAAATCTTTTTTGTTATAAGAGTAGGGTTGCACGAGTGAGAGGTAACTGTCAGTGTTTTAAAACAATGAGAACTGAGGTACACCAGAAACTGGAGTTCATGTTTACTGCTTAGAAGAAAAAACGACAAACTCATGAGTCCTTTATCAGAGAGTTTTAATAATTTGGGGGAAAAAAGCACATTACAAAGGAATCGAACCTAGGCCACAGAGGTGGGAGGCAAGTACTCTGACCTCGGCGCTATCCCTGCTCCACCATTTAGTACAGACCAAAAATCAGAGTAAAAAATGGCTGCCAGATTAATATTCATTTGTTTAAATTTAAATTAGCCTTTCTGGCCTCGTTCTCCAGTACAAAATTCAAAAGACCACATTATCTCAAGCGAGGCCAGAAAGGCTAATTTAAATTTAAACAAAAGAATGTTAATCCAGCAGCCATTTATGAAAGTGGTCAATAGCTTGAGAGTAAAATGCTTAAACGAAGTACCTGCAATCTCTCCGAGGGGCATTTTTCCAGGCATCCACAAGTTTTCCAATGTTTCCTATTTCTTCAGTTTGGCTAAACGACTGTAGACAGTTCTTCTTGAGCCATTCCTGTCATTAAGAACAATATCAGAACAAGAAAAAGTGTAGCTGTTGCCGAGTTACGATTACATGTGTAAGTAAGTAAGTAACTAAGTAAGTAAGTAACTTTATTTAGTCACATATCGCATATGAGCGAATAGCTCGTTTAAATGCAAATGTGCCTAATGTGGTTCAGAGTTTGAGCGCCATTCGAACAAATTGAGATTTCACGTTCGATGAAACGAACCGAATAAATAACAAAAACTTGTGAGTAAAATCCTACTAGCCTTACTCTCTCTCTCGTGAGCCGAAACAGCTAGTTGACAATTCAGTTACTAGAGAATTCTTATCATAATTTAACACCACAGTTAACTCAAAACAAAAGGAAAACATCATTGTACCTTGTCGTTCAAAACAGCACTAAAAACAATAGTGTGTGATCGAAAAGCACACAGCTTTTAATACCTAAACTGTGAAATGCAGGATCCTTGTATCCATTTGTTACTCAAAAATAAAAGTTCTTAATAAAAGTAATACTCACATGGTCGAATTTCACAGAATTGTCGTACGTTGTAAGGAAAGAAACTCCTGCTGGGAGATTTGTTCCGGCATTCCCTGAAAGCACACTAAGATTTCCAAATCTTCCACTCGACCCGGAATAGAAATAATATAATACAACTAAGACTACGACTGTTAGGCCAACACATAAAAAGTATTTTTGTCGTCTGTGTCCGACCATAAGGCTCGTATGGGTAGGAGAGTAGCTTATTTTCATAGTATTCCACGGCTACTCCATCTTAGCCTCTGGACGAGAGTGCCTTGAACTGAGTTTAGAAACCGCTGATTAAAGTAATCGAAGATCTCTCATCAGTAATCAAATCGGTCAGGGTAACGTGACTTTTCAGCAATTTTCCACAATTTATATGGCTGATTCACCTCCAACTTCAACTCCAGAGCTTGCAGCAAGCACCGCCGAAGAAACTGCAGTTCAAGACAGTTCTGTAAGCACCGAAACCGTTGTTCGAGGTACAGTAGGCATTTTATAGGAAGTATAATCTCATTGGTAACTTTCAACTCACCTGATATCTCGACATACTTCACTCGATTAGCTTATTTTTTCCAGTTGACTTAGCATTTTAAGCGCTCAGAGGAAATTAAAATAATTGCAAAGATAGTTTATGTTGATTTTATGGTAGTATTGGCATGTAGAATGGCTCATCAGGCATTAGATTCCACCGAATTTCATAACACTGACAACCCAAGCGAAGATCTCTCATCGAATTTGCTCAGTTTTCGGTCAGTTTAACGTGACTTTTCGGAAATTTTCCACAATATATACATGGCTGATTCACCTCCAACATCTGTGACAGAGCTTGCAGCAAGCACCCCTGAAGAAACTGCAATTCAAGATAGTTCTGCGAGCACGAAAAACGTTGTTCAAGGTAACAGTAGGCAATTTTTATATCTCATTGATAACTTTTAACTCAGCTGATATTACGACACACTTCACTCGATGAACTTATTGTTTTCCAGTTGACTCAGCATTTTAAGCGTTCAGAGGAAATTAAAATTGCAAAGATAGTGTATATTATCGCTATGGTAGTATTGGCATGTAGAAGAGTTCATCAGGCATTCGATTCTACCGAATTTCAGAACTTACACTGAAAACCTTCGACTTCAGAACTTCACGCAACTCTCCATTTCCATTCCTTAAAAAAACCATATTTTTTACCTAAGCCAAACAGCACTGAGGAAATTTCCCCCCTAATTTGTGACGACAGTGGCTAAGAAGATGTTGATAATGTTGTTGGTAATTTACGCCTCACTGTTTAACGTTTACTTCGACGTTTCTCATTTACATATATATGCATATAATACTTTATTTTAAAAAATAACAAGCGCTATTCAAATATGCACTGTTACTGAGAAAAAGAAAACCCAAAAGTTAGCCCTACATTAAGGATCTAAATAGAAAAGAAACTACTATATAAATTTATTTAAAAAAATAATAGAAATACACATTTATATAAATTAAAGTGAGTTTATAAAAAAATATATGAAAGTCACAGAAAAAGTATGTGGCTAACCTAGCAATCCAGGTGTTTTCACAAATTATCTGTTTGTAGAACACCAATTGTTTTGGCTAAAAAACTCCAGCCAAAATCATATTGCAAGCAATTTTCACCTCAGGTTTTCCAACTTTGAGTCACTTTGACTGATGACAGTTTTCAAGGCTAATGATTATCACTCAGACAATCACAATACACTATTCAGTGATTATAATTATATTAATGGGCTTGAACTACCAGTTATTGATAGAGAAGGTCCAACATTGGATCAGAATACATCAAATTTTTTTCACCCTCTAGCTCAAATGATATATTGATAGAATGTGCAGTGATATACGAGTCTGGCAGACTCTGCTTAGATTTGTCACTGATGAGGAGTGCAAATGCAACATGAAGTACAATGCTTTGATTAACCTTGTAACTTCCAAAATTTTATTGTTGATTCTCCCCTCCAGTTGCTACACATTTCCTTGTAAAGTTATTTTGAGAATTTAGTGTAAAATTGAGATAACAACTTCTAATTGATTAGTTTGAGTATTCTCATCACCTATTGGCCAGATAATGTATGGACATTGTAGGGAGAAGTTAGTCATTAATCATTTCTGAAAGTTGAAGGGTTAAACTCCATGTACGATCTTAATTTCAGGAACTGGATTATCAGTGGAACAGGGAATAAAAGAAAAGGAATGTACAAATATTCAATCAGCAGATGAATCTAGGGTAACATTAGAAGCAACTGATGTAAAATTAGTAAAAGACAAAGTTGCATCAGGATCAGGGACAGCGGTAGATGCCTATGAAGAAATTACAAAGAGTGAAGTCACATCATTGGATGATTGGGAGGATGTCCATCAATCATGCTTGTCGGAAATCCCACCAATTGATCCGAACATCTTGAATGAATTAGAGATAAGAGCCAGTGACATAGCGGAGAACTTGGACCATATGCTTAGAACTTTAGGCAACAGTTTGAAGGCCATGTCTCAAGTGAGCACAGATTGCCTGAGTGCTTACAACAATTGTGTCGATCATGTGAGCGAGGCAGTGGATGTCAACATTAAATCTATGTACACTCTGATTGCAAGATGTGAAGAACTGAATGCGAGCCTGAAACCAGTTCAAAACTTGGCTGAACAAGTTAAGGAAATTAAGAGAACGTTGGATGTTTTTGAAGCAGTTTGCAAGTGACTATATGGACTAAAATCCCCTCTTGCATTCAAGACTAACCTTCTTCCTAAGCAAAGAGATTTTTTTATATTTGTACAGCAAGTTCAAGGCATTTCTTAAATTGAATTTCTCAGACAATTTATTGTGGTATTCATGTTAGTTACAGGTTGTTTGCTTTCATGTGCAAAAATAGTTTTTCTGCTTCTTCACTGTGGCTGTAAAAGAAGATTAACCCTTTGATTGCGCTTAAAAGCAACTACCATCTGATTGGCTACCCAAGCGGGCAAGATGGGCCCATCTTCCCTACATGGGATTGCCCACATTGATCCCTCGCATGAAAAAAAATAATTAGAACTAAGTTTGTAATTGTTGGACAATTTCGGAGATAGAAATGCAAAAAGTGGCAGAAGATAGTCAAAACAAAGAAAACAGAAACAACTCTCATGAGTTTGTGCTGCAAACACAATTGGCTTTTTTTCCTGTCTCTCAAAGTAAAGAAGTGAATCTTAATTCTTAATAACGTGAAATCTTTTTGCAATATAATAAATCCTTTATTAACCAAGCTTGTTCAGTCAAGATGGCTTGATATTAGCCTCGTTCTTTTTTGGCATTTTTATGGACCTCAACTTCATCTCAGTCCATAAAAGTGCATAAAAAAGACCTCGGCCAATATCCAGCCATCTTGACCTCACGCTTGCTTAATATTGCATATATATTAGTCTGAATAACACATTAAGGTCACAAAAATAAGAGATGATCACCAACTAAAGTGGTTCTTGATAGCTAAACAAGCTCTCCTTGTCAGCACCTTAGCATGGGGAAAGCTTGGGAGTTGGTTTTTGACTTATCATTCATGGGGGATTTGCTTTTTTACATAAAAGTGGACATCTGGTTGAGTTAATATCAGGCTGGATTTGTTTTCGACTTAGTCATTAATTCAAAATTGGTTACCCATCCAGCCAAAAAAATTTGGTTCACACATGAACGTACGACCGTCCTCATGTACAAGTTTCCAGTTTTAGCATGCACAAACAGTTGAATTGCAGGCACAATTCTTTGCATTAATCATCCAGAAGGGGTATCCCTGAGGAGGAAGGAGAACGTCATATGCATGCGTGCTTGTGTGGCAGTCTGTGACTAAGAAATTGGGTGCACTTGCGTTAGTAAACAAAGGAGCAGCCTCATGAAGTGCGCATACTCGAATTCGGTGTCCAGGTGCAGTGTACCGCGGGCTCTAAGTTAGGCATAACACGAGGGCTTCACGTGGGCTGGCTGGTGTGGAGCCCGCGTCAGCAAGGGTTTTGAGCGGGATATCAGGCCGATTGAGTCGACATGGAAATATCATTTTTAAGTAATTTTCGTTTTTCCCATCAACTTACAAAGTATCAATATTGATAGAAAAAGTTATATCAACTGGTAGAGTTTATCTTAATTCAAATTTTTTGAGACTAGGTTGAAGTGAGCCGAGGCGGGAAATGGAGAAAAGAAGCTAAAGCGTAGAGCAAATCGTGAGCGGCGCGTAAGAGGGTGAGAAAGGACTGGACCAAATAGCCAGAAACACAGGGAAAAGGAAAGCGGAAAAAACGACACAAGAAATAACTTGAGTAAAAAGGCGAAATTCTGACGAAAAGAAAAGTGAGAAGGAAGATAAAGAGCTCTAGAAAATAGACTGAGAAACGGGGAGAAACTACAAAGGAATCGCGGAAGGAAGGGAAAAGGCTGGGAGGTAAATAAGTCATATCTGAGTTTTTCCTCAAGCTGATACTTGGGAAAATTCGAAATTTTTTCGTTTGATACGATTTTCAGTTTATGACTCATAATTTCGATGCGGGCAAAAAAATTAAATTACGTTGCAGTAAAATCATTTGGCATTCGTCGTTTAGAAACCTTCGCGCCGTTTCATTGCTCAAACAAGTTACGAGCCTTCGTATTCGCCAAATTATTTCTTTTCTTTTCGTTTGGAATGTTTAATTCAGTCGTGATGTTTAGAGAAACAAAAGTTACT